TACATTACAAATAATCGATTTTCATATTAAAAAAGCTTATAAAGAGAAAAAATATGCCCTAATAGCATCTCTAGATCTAGAAAAAGCTTTTGACAAAGTAAACCACGATGCAATAATAATAAAAGCAGCTAAACTAGGTATAACGGGTACTCCTCTCAGATGGATATCTAACTTTTTAAATAATAGATCCTACCAAATAATAATAGGAAATCAAAAATCCGAGGAAGGAAGAATAAGTAAAGGACTTCCACAAGGATCTCCATTAAGTCCATTACTATTCAACATAATGATGTCAGATCTAAATCTAACAGTAAAAACCAACAAAATAATATATGCAGATGACATAAATATAATAACAATACATGAAAACCTAGAAGAAGCAAAAATCAATCTAGAAATAGGATTAAATAAAATAGTAAAATGGGCTAACGACTGGGAGCTTAAATTAAATTTAACTAAAAGCAAAGTAATGTGCTTTACAAAAAAAAGAATAAGACAAATACCAATAATAAAAATAAATAATGAAGAACTAAAATTCACAAATAAACATACAATCCTAGGACTCGAATTCGACGCACCAAAACTAAAGTGGAAAAACCATATTAATAACTTGAAAATTAGATGTACAAATAGAATAAACATAATGAAAAAATTATCAACAACAACATGGGGAGCAAACAGAGAGACAATGATAAAATTCTATGATATCTACATAAAACAAAAATAGAATATGGTATAACAATTTATGGAACAGCAAATGACACAGAAATAAAAAAAATTGAAACAGTTCAAAATGGAGCTTTGAGAATAGCCACTGGATGTTTAAAGACCACTCCAATAAATGCACTCTATGCCCTAACAAATAAAATGTCGATCAAAAATAAACTAAAAGAAAAAGAATTCACCCAAATGTTAAAAATACTAGAAAAAAAAGAAAATACACAAATAAAAAAAATGTTAACAGAAAATATAAAAGAATATAACCCTCAAAAGGATAAAAATAACTTAATCCATAGAATAATAGAAACAAGCAAAGAATTGCAAGTGAAAATAAAGATAAAAACAATGTCAAACATAACCCCTATTCCACCTTGGTTTGATATTACAAAAAATATAGAAACAAAATTCTTAGATGAGCAAACAAAAAATATCCCAGAACAAATAATAAGAGCACAGTATATAATGTTAGAAAACACACGATATCTAAATTATAAAAAATTATTCACAGATGGCTCGAAAATAAACAACGATTCCACATCAGCAGCTATATACATACAAGATAACAATATAACAACAATATGGAAACTACCAAACAATACAGAAATAATAGAAGCAGAACTCTTTGCAATAAAACAAGGGCTAAAATACATACAAAATAACAAATTATCAAAATCAGTACTATTTACAGATTCTAAATCTGCACTTCAACTAATATCGAACCCGAAACCTAAGAATTCTAAAAGTATGACTTTTGAAATACAAGAATTGATATATACAATGGTAAATCAAAATCAAATAATAATGTTACAGTGGATACCTTCACATAAAAACATAAAGGGAAATGAAATAGTAGATCAAGCAGCTAAAAAGCACACAAAATAAGATATCCCATAACCATACATGAAGACACAAAAAAAACAGATAAAACAGATGAAAAAAAAAAAAAACAGAGAAACTGGAAAACTCAGTTAAATACAATTCTTAACACAAAGAATTATCTCTTGCAGAACACAGAACCGCAGCCATGGTTAAGATCCAAAAATAGAAAATTAGATGTCTGCATAACTAGAATAATAACTAAGCACACAAGACTAAATAAACACCTACATAGAATGAAAATAACAAATGACCCTTACTGTAGATGGTGTCATAATCAAGAAGAAGATATAGAACACTTAATCCTACACTGTCCACGATTCCACTCCAGCAGAACAAAATTGAAAGAAGCCTTAAGAAAAATCAAAGTAATCAACCCTAACATAAACTTATTATTCACAGGTGCAGATCTCTCCCCAACAGAAAAGTTTTATACTCTTAGACACACCAAAATCTTTTTAAGAAAAACCAAACTAACAGAGATCATATAAAAGAAAGAATAGAAAAGAAAAAAGATCCAGGGGATATAGACTATGCAAAAGTCTAAAACCCTATAAAAGAAGAAAGAAGAAGAAGATACAGCTATACTCAGAGCAGTGCTTTTCCAGACTGTAGAGTATTTTTCTTGTGCGGGGAATAATAAATTTTTTCATGTGCAGAAAACATCATTTTGTCAACATTTGCACGGACAGATCTGGGGACAGATGATGAAACAAGTGCGCAGAAAGGTCAAAAGAATTTTATGTGCAGAAGATGATTTAAAAAAAGAATTAAGAGTGCGCAGAAAGATACCCGAGAACTAAATTTGCGTGGACAGAATTTGACCAAATAATTTTTGCGACAAGAATATCATCTACAAGAATATCATCTTCAATTTGCCCAAGCTTAGTGCATCCATACTGTAATCATTAACCAACCTATAAAACATAATAGTAATAGCAATAATAATGATAGGGTGGAAGTTAAAGAGACCAACACAGGTAGATAGAGGGAAATGAACACCACCATCTTATAGAGCAGAAGAAATAGAGTAGGATACAACATAGTTTAAGCTGCAGCGGCCTCAAAGTCACCGCTAAATGATGAAAATATGAGGCTACAACAATTGTACCTTATTGCTTATGACTATTTCTCATGCCCCATTTCCTTCTATCTTTGTGCATCGCTCTTGGTAACATCAACCATGTCATCAGCTCTGCAGTGCTTTCCAGACTCATCAACTTGGGGTTCACCGAACTAGACAGTAGTTTTGGACTCAGCCATGGCCTTGGCACTCCTACCACTTGCTATCCATTTCCATGTAAAACATTAAACTCTGCCTCATCGTTAAATAAAGTAACACTCCCAGGTAAGTTCTATCTTGCTAGAATATACACTGTGGACAATTGTTGGTCTTAGCCTAATGCCGAAGGCGTGGCGGATTGGTCTCTGGAGAATGCGGTTGTTAGTTCATATTCACCAATTCAAGGATTTGCGTTGTTGAAACGTTTAAATAAGTATATATATTTTTAACAATCAATTACTATTAAAAGTCAACTACTATTAAAACAGCGACTTGTATACACAACTGAAATTATTAACACAATAAAATACTAGACTTACTTTTTCACAAACGCTAATTTTTTTTACTTGAAGTCAATCTACAACTGTATGCGAGAAAATTACCGTATGCGAGATTTATCAATGATATCAGTCTACTTTAATACAAATTTATTACTTAAAAGTTAAATTCTGACCTGTAGTTTCTGCTTGTATTTATCCCGTTTTGGTCGTTTTCTAAGAGGATTAACAAATGGAAGAGAAAACGATTTTGGCGTGGTAAGACTTGATTTTATGGGAGACTTAATTGAATTCATCAATCTCCTTCACTACCTGTTGTCAATGAATTATTGGTATTACTCCCACTACTTTATATCGTCATTTTTTCTATTATTAGTGATGTTTTTTGGCTTTTGTGCACCAGTGCTTTAGATTTTGGACGCTTTATAACAGCTTCATTTGCAACCTGTCTCTTTCCCATTAAGCGCTTAATTTGGTAGGAATATGTTACTGAGTATATGATTCTTTTGCTTCATATTATAATTGTGAATAGAAAGTGCCTAGTTTTGATTTCCATAATGTTTCAAAACTTAACATTTGGGAATGGGAAATATTAGTGGCATATGTCTTTGGTATATGTATATACATGTTCACATGCTACTATAATTGGCAAAAATTAAAGAAGTACTTTTATGTATACGTAAAACAATTCGAATATATCACCAAATATACTTCTGATTTCTTTTCCATATTTTGTAGATTGTATAATAGTATATATATAGTAGCAAATGTATTAGGTACATGTAAAAGTATGATTAGAAGTGAAAAAGTGAAAGAATTGATATATGCGACTATGCATTCATATATACGTGTAAATCTTGCCATTATAACTGCGTTTTATAAAAAAAATTATAATAATAATAATAATAATAATAATAATAATAATAATAATAATAATAATAATAATAATAATGCCTTACGCAGTACTTTGCCATTAGATTTTTCCAGGAAAATAATACATGTTTGTACAATACAATTTTTTTTCTTATTTCATGATTATCATTATCTTTTATCACAATTATCATCATTAGTGTCATTATCATTGTTGCTGTTGTTCAACATTCATCATACTATTTTCTAAGCTTGCGATAGTATTCATGCTATTACTGCTTTCAATATCATGACAATCCTTGGCACTCTCACAATCATTATAATAATAATTGAAATCATGAACACTACTACTACCGCTACCTTTTCCATTATCAAAATGTAAAAGCGGATACTCCATCAGCTTCATTTGGAAGGTCTCTCTTTTCTTTTGTGTGCTTAATTGGGCAAAACAAAATGTGTGTGATCGACTATGAATAATTTAACTTTGTTTTTATATTACAACGATGAAGATAAAGTGCCTAGTGATTTGATGCAGCTGGATTAGACTTGGGTAGTTTATACCAGTTCTTATGTTTCAAGATGGCCTTTTGGAAATGGTTATTACCGAGGTTATGTCTGTGGTAGCTTTGGTTAGTTTGTTGGTTAAATGGTTAGCAGGATAACTCAAAGAGTTACGTAGATTTTTGTGAAATCTTTAATTTATTTTATTTTAATATTGGTGGTAATCAGGATCATGATCCGGATCAAGGATTTTTTTTATTACATTAGTGACCCCATTGCCTTCACAAGAATATCCGCTCTCTGAATTCTCTCTCTCTCTCTCTCTCTCTCTCTCTCTCTCTCTCTCTCTCTCTCTCTCTCTCTCTCTCTCTCTCTCTCTCTCTCTCTCTCTCTCTCTCTCTCTCTCTCTCTCTCTCTCTCTCTCTCTCTCTCTCTCTCTCTCTTCTCTCTCTCTCTCTCTCTCTCTCTCTTCT